TTCCCGTGCTATTCTGACAGCTTCAAGGTGCTTATAAACAGTGAGGCTTTATAGGTAGGTGACTGACAGGAACTGAGAACAAAGGTAATAGAGGGAGGATAGAGCTAAGCAATAAAGACAGCATTTGATTTGCTCTGAGGACAGCAGATTTCATACTGGTATGATTATCTGCCAACTCCAGGATGGGTGAAGAGCACTTAAGCTCAGCACTGAGAAAAATAGTACTAGTCTTACAGTAGTGGACTTCAGGTTTCTAGTAAAAATCAGAATAGATCCCAAAAGCTGACCCTTAGCTGATATTCCAAATTTGAGATTCTAACATTAAGCATAATTTAACAGAAACTTCTTCAGAGATAATACCAGCACTTTTTTTTTTCAAATTAAGAGTGGGAATGCAAAAAGGAAACTTCTAGAAGCACACTGCTCCCATTCCCACCCTTAACATTCCTAACCCTCCACAAAATGGCCTGAAAAAAATCCTTTTTCAGATTTGGGGGGATTTAAAAGGTGGAAATGGAAGTGATTTGGTTTCCCAAGGCCTCTACTCCCATTGTCACAATTAACTCTCCAAAGTCTGAAACTGTTCCCACTAGGTTGGTCCCTGCTCTTTCCTAGTAGTATCACCACTTCCTCAGACAGCCTCTTGCAACTCTCTGAAAGGCCTGGAGCCTGCATCTTGACCCACAGCCCCTAAGATATTGCCTATCCGGCCAGAAGAGAAATATCCTGTACATACTGCAGCTGGTATAATTTATGAATTAGGAGGAAAGAGACACAGATGCTGCCTTCACCTTCAATTTCACCTCATTCACAAACTGTTGAGTTTTTCCTTTTCATACCTAATTTTGCTGTTTAAATAAAAGGTGAGTTCTACAAAATCTCAAATTTGATACCCAATACTAACTGCATATTCACATGCCATTTATACACTGTAGAATTCAGTTTTCTTCTGTATTATAATGCTGATCTAGGACTTTTGGACAACGGAGGACTCAACATGAAAACACTGCCTAGAGAGGTTAAAGTTTACTTGGCCACAGCTGCATCAGCACCATACTGTGGTGAGTAACTGAAAATTGAAAACTTTCTTTGTATCAGTGGACAATAATTTAGAATTCAGAACCAAATACATTGACCCCTTTCAAATGTAAATGAATACACAGTATAGACAGAACTTCACAGAATGACCTTCCTCTTGATTTTGTAGTTAAAGTTCTGCTTTAAAGCTCCACACTGAGATTGAATTATTTACATCTGTCTCTTCTGGAGAAGATCTAGGCATATATAGTACTAACCTAATATTTTCAACAAAGGAGTTTGAGGAACAGAGGCAAGACTAGATCTAGAAGAAGACTGGCATTTCATTTCTTTATTCATACACTTAGGATTGTGAATACACCCAAAATTGTTAATGGTCTGGCTGAACCTCTATTCATTGTCTTTGAGAAATAAGAACAGGTGCCAGATGACCAGAGGTGTCAAATGTTATTCCTATCTTCAAAAAGGTGAAAATGGAGGATCTGGAGAACTGGAGACAGTAACTCTGCCATTGCTACCTGAAAAGATTCTAAAATGAGCTTATAATGTTTGAACTGATCTGTGAGCACCCTGAAAACAATGCAGTATTTATGAGAAATCACCATGGATTTGTTAAGGAATCTCATCAGACTAATATTATTTCATTACTGACTGGATAATTTTCTTAGTAGATTGCCAGAAAGCTGTAGACATAAACTATCTCAGTTTCAGTAAAGTTTTTGAAAAATACCCCATGAAGCAGTGATGAGATTTCAGGCTGACTGTTCGTGGTCCAGGGTTTTTTTATTCTGATGTTTTGCCAGCAGCTGCAGCTGGCATCTTTATCTTTTTTTAATTACTTTTTATTAAAAATTTTAACAGTAATAAAAGATAACACAAAGTGAAATCAAAGAGAAAGAAAAGAAAAAAAAATGCAGAAAGAAAAAGAAAAGAATATTTTAAAAAGTGACTTCCAATCTTTTTTACAAGTACAAGCAAATTTAGCATTTCTCTACCCCCTTTGATATTATATTACATAAATCACTTCTTCCCATATCTCAACTCTTATCCATCCACAAATCCAAAAATAATTATCATTTCTTTTCAGTATCAGCAAAAGGTCCATAAAGGTTTCCCAGAACTTTATAAAAGTATTTCTTGTTTTAACGATGATCAAACAGGTCAACTTTATATTCCTTTCTTTTGCTCCTAACAATCTTAATCTTTGCTTCAATAAGATGCTGTCGTAGGATTTGATCTCCATCCAAATTTTCTTTCTCCCATCTCTGGAGTTTCTTCATGGCTTTAACAACCCTCTTTCATAAATCTAATAATGAGTCATTACCCAGGTCATTTTTCATCTCTTGGCTTATCATTTGTATTTCCACTTTAGCTTTCATCAGTGTCTTATAGTCCATAACTTCTGTTTTATTTTTCAGTATTTCTGCATAGGCTGGAGTTTGTTTTACCTCTTCATCCTGTTGATCTGTAAATTCTTCCAAATTCTTCTTCTTCTCATCTTTTATTTCTTCTTTAAGATCTTTTAAATAGTGCATTGCATGAGCAGATACTGTTGCTGTCATTGTAGTTGCAAATTTCTTTCCCATTTGTTTTTAAAAAAATCAGCTAATCTTCTCTTTCCTAAAATACTAAACAATTAATATTTCCATGAAGATACTGTTTTGTTTTTAATTATTTCAAAAGTCTTAAAGCAAAAGTCATAATATTTCAAATATTAAATCAAATACAGGTAGTCCTTGATTTACAACAGCAATTGGGACTGGAATTTGTCGCTAAGCAATGCAGCCATAAACTGCAGTCTCAGCTGCTGTTGTTAACCAAATGCCACAGTCGTTAGGTGAGGCATGTTCCTGCCAGCTTCCCACAACCAAAATTAGCAGGGAAGCCGGCAAGAAGTTGCAAATCCCAGGCTGACAGGCAGGTAAGTGGCTGCTGCCAGGTGGAGAAGGGAGCAAGGCGGTGTGTGAGGAAGGGTTGGAGGAGTGCAAAGGGGTGGGCTAGAGGCACAGATCAGGAAGGGTGTGTGAGGGTGCACAAGTGGTCAACGTGGTCCAAATGCAGAGGGGCTGGGGGTGGGTGCAGTTGGGGAAGACTTACCCCAGTGACTTTCCTACCACCCCCCCCAGCCCCCCCCCCCCCCCCCTC